CATGAATTTTTATTAAAAAGAACTAAAGAAAATAATAATAATAATAATAATAATAATAATAATAATAATAATAATAATAATTGTTAATTGCGATCAAACCAGAAACGAGAAAATAGTGGACAAACCCAAGGCCCTTAAAGAACCAATTATATACAGAACCGGTAAGGAAACAGGTCAAGGATTCAAAACATGAGTTGAGGAAGTCAAATTGAAGAGAGAACAAAATGCACATTGATCGCAATAGACCGGAGACCGGAATTTTGGTAAAGTTTTAGAGACCAGAGATTAAGGATTCAAACCATGGTCAGAGATCAGAGATCGAAATTTTCGTGCGTTAGTGGGAAATCTTTAGAGTGCATTTTCTTATGTTTCCAACAATCGATATTTTGGTAATTCTAATTTCTACCATTAAGTCCCTTTATACCTGACTAATATTTGGATTTTTACGAGACATTAGGATATTTTTAATGCTTTCGCCAGACTTCAAGTTAATTTTTCCTATAATTTATTTACATGGGGACAATAATGGAGATAGGGCTGTGTAAAAGTTTGATAATTCTATTCAAACCAATCTAGCCCGAACAAGTCTAGTCCAGTAAATAAATTGGGTCGAATGACTAAAGAGACAAAAAAGACTAGGTTAACTTTTTAGATTGGATTTGATAGGAGACTAAACTCTCAAATCACTTAATTTAATCCGATCATATAAAATTACTTTAATATAATTTTAATTATTTTTAATATATTTGAATAGTTTGAAGTTTGATTTAATTGTTTTCTTCATTCACATTTTGCCCTTCTTTTTAATATAATTTTAATTTAGTTTGCTATCAAATTATTGTTGTAATATATATTAGATATGTTGCTAAAGTTTGTTAAATGTTGTTATTGTTATTGAAGTTATGAATTTAAATCATTTAAATTGTAATTGAAATATTTTATTGTTATTGTTAGATATTGGTTTGAATTTTTTATGATTATAAGTATCTTTATTATATTAATTAAATTTATTAAAATGAAATGAATTGTGACTTCTCATATAGAAAAAAAAAACTAAATGCATATTAGATCATCGGGACCAATCTTTTAATCATATAGAAAAATCTTATATTATTAATTTTTGAATTACAACTAGTCTAGATCAAATTATAAATTACTTAATTCAGTCCCTTTCGTGAAAATGATTAAACTTTAGTTAGATTAAAGTTCAATTGAGTACTTTGTGCAGCCTTAAATTGAGGTGATGTCGCCCGGAAAAAAAAAAAAATGAAGGTGATGACTTTATTTGAGTGTTCTGGTGCGAGTGTGAAATAGATGTCTTGTGGGCGCTGCTCCCCACTTCCAGAATGGAGAGGCTTTACAAGGGCCGTGAAGAATGCGGAATTCAATTCCATTGTCGAATGTCATTGGCATTCATCTTTCGCAGATTCTCGAGTCAACAGCCCACTCACCTTTCATCTGTTGTCATTAATAGAATTAATCGCCTCATTCCCACGTGCTCAACGGCTGCAATTTTATTTACACAATACTCTCTTCCATTTTTTTTATAAGGTTAAGAAATTTTTTTATTTTATTTATAAACTATATTATTAATTTTTTCTCACAACATTCTACTTTTCATTAAATGCTGGTGAAAACAAAGTTTATTTTTAAACTGTACATATATATATAATAAGGATAAAGTTGATAATTTATTTTTTTAAACAAAATTGATGAGTTAATAAAACGTGTTAAAAATTACTTACTCTTGCAAAGAAGACAGTAGAGTAATATTCTTTCACTCACAAGATTTATAAGATACTCTTAGATATGATTCAATCCCTCAAATTACAAGATACTTTAATAAAAATAAAATTTCACAAATTTTACTTATTTCAATGTTATCCTTTTAATGAGTTTGATTTTAAAAAGATTAGGGAAGTATGTTTAAAGGTCTTTAAATAATTTTTCTTACTTTTTAATTTATATGTTCTTTTTACTAAAACATTATAGTCACGTTTATTTTGAAAAAAAAAATTGATGTATGGGATACACAAGTTCTTTACTGGGTTTTTAAAAAATAAATTCATCAGAATCTATCGCTCCTCGGCCCAACCAAACAAGGATTAGTATAATCAGAGTCAAACAAATAAGCAATGAGGGCGTAAAGTTGAGGGCAAATGTGGGAGGCACAGAACATATTCGAGAGGAGTCAGAAAAATGATCCAAGGGCCAAAAAAACAGAGTGTGAAAAGTGAAATTGAAAAGCAAAAGCGCAGTGCGCGGCCGATACGATCCTTTATAAACCATTTAAAGAAAAAGCTTTCGATTAGTCAGCTTTCTCATTAGTCATGAGATTCCTGGTGTGTGGATTTAGTTCAAAGCTAGAAAGCAACCTTCTGTTTTATTATTATTTTCCAAGTCATCCATGTTAAACAATACGCATATTTTGATATTTTCGGTTTATTATATAAACGCGAGTCTCACTGATTGAACTGAAAAACGACAAAGAAAGAATGGAAAACAAAATGATAATGTGTCGTTTTCATTGCGTCGTTTACTGCGGTGAGAAGCCGAATTCCACGAAGCGACAAATCACTACTTGGTTAGTTTACTTATCCCACCAACACTCGCAACCAGTATTCTCTCTCTCACTCTCATGGTAAAAAGAAAAAAAAAAACAACTCTCATTATTCTTTTTAATTGTTTTGTTGGATGGAATATTTATCACTTTTTAATGAAAACCGAAGACAATATACACAGAAATAGATAATCATGTCATGACTTTTTATTATCATGTCCATAATTTAAGTGCATTATTATAGATATTTTTTAAAAAAATTAAAATATCTACTACATTGTAATATTTTTATTATTTTTAATCTATAAAATATCTCAACAAAATTTAAAATATATTTTAATATTTATTTTTAGATTTTAAGACTAATATAATTTCTAAAAAAAAAGTTTTGAGTCCTATATACATCATTTAAGTATCCTAAGAAATATATTATATATTTTTTGTAAAATAAAATAATTAATTTTAAAAAAGTTAAAGTAAAATACAATTTTAAAAATAAAATTTGAATACCCAGTCACCTAAAATCCAAAAAAATTTAAGTTGGACTTAACTATTTGAGTTTTTCAGAAAGTCAAACTTATCGGGTCAAGTCCAAAGAAGCCCGACTCACTTGAATTTTCAACTCTATTCATAATCTATATATATATATATATATATATTGGTTAAAAGTTGGATTTGGCTAGAACTTTTACTGGGAATTTTATATTTTTAGAAATGGTATGAGAATAATATTGCACATAACATTTATTTTTTTTATATCTAGCGTTTTTATTCATTATATACATGTAGCTCATAATTATCTCGTTCATGAAAAGCAAATAAAAAACACTTTTTCATTCACTTTTATAATCTATACCATATATTTTTTAATATATAGTGTGTATATATATATATATATATATATAAGAGCTTTCATAGCGTTTTGGTGTTCTTTTGCAAAGTATTTTGTATTTATAAATATTTTTGAAGGAGTAATGGACATTCTAGAAAAAAAAGAAAAATTTTAATGACTATAGATAATTAAAAAAAAGAACCCTAAAAATTACCTCAGCTCAAAGGCTATAAATTGAAATTAAAATTGAAAATAGAATGACAACATTAACCTTATTTCAACTGTTAATTCACTTTCCTATCATGACTTGTTCATTCTTATATGAAATGTTATTAATTGCCTTTTTTCAATTGTTTAATACCTTATTTTTATTTAATTTCATTTCAAGTATTACTTTCATTTTAATTTTACTTGTTCATTTGCTTACTATAATTTATTTATTTATTTATGAAATGTTGTTAATTGCTCTACTTTAGTTGTTTGACATATTACTTTCACTTGCTTTCATTTTAACTTGACTTGTTCGTCTTCCCATCATGACTTGTTCATTTCCCTACAAAATATTACTAATTAATCTACTTCAATAAAAAAATGAACAAGTCATAATAGAGCAATTAACAATTGAAGTGGGGTTAATTTTATCATTTTACTTTCAATTTTGATTTCAATTTAGAGCCCTTGAACTATAGTGAAGATTAAGAATTTTTGGGGTTCTTTTTTTAATTATCTATGGTCAAAGGTTTTTTATTAAAAATTTCTCATAAAAAAATTATGGATTATTAAAGTAGTGCACAGTTTTCCCAAATTGGTGCAATTTTATGGTTTTCCCCCTAAACAATGTTGGGTCAAAAAACTTCATGGCTATCATAAACTTAAAAAAAAAACGTACTACACTGTTTTACATTTATTTAAAAAGTGTCTTGCAACTTATTAAAAAATACCTCCAACACAAAAATATATTTTAAGCCATTGATGAAAATAAAAAAAAAAACAAGAAGAATTGCTAAATGATGTGTGGTGCCGGCCAGGTAAAATGGGAAGACAACTATTTTTGATATTGTTATTATTATTGCTAATGTTTTTGCCGGAGTTATTGTTATTATTATCAATATCAATTATCAATTATTAATCAGACATGTTTTTTTACACACATATACTATAGTACACCCTTGGTAATTTAATTTATAAATAATATTTCAACTTGTTATAATTTTTGATATATTATATATTGATATATTTACAGTTTCAATTTGAACTTATTACTTGACAATTTTGATGATTAATTTATACACATATAAATCAAATGGAACAATTATTAGTACTTCCAATGCTAAAGCAAAGTCAACGATTTTAATGGCCAATACGAAAAACACGGATGATCCTTGATACGGTGGTTTGCGCATCAGATGACAGAAAAATTGGCAGTTCAGCGCGAAATTCGTGAAATATGTATGAGTATCAAACTCAGCAAAATGCCCATAATATTCAAATTATATGGTCAGCTCCTAAATGATTAGAGTCATTCCTTTTCTTTTTAATTAAAAAAGGGAACACAAAAAAAGAGGATAAATTCTCTGAATCACTGGGTCACTTCCACCGATACCCAATGCTCGTCAATTTTCAATCACTCTGTAGAATTTGGGAAACTCAAAACAACCGTTGGTTCCAATGTGCGTTTTCGGATGATACATCTTTTCGGCCACTTTCGCTAAAAACATTCGGAAGAGGCCTTTTCAATCTGGGCCACAGTGAGAGAGAGGTTCGGTGGGTAGTTGGGTGCAGAGCTATTTAAACGATCCATTGAGTGATCAGCAGCCTGGTCTTTGCTTTTGGGTATCTGCGATCTTCAACTTTGGATTGTTTCTCGGAGTTGTTTCTTTGTGGTTGCAGCGTACACCTGTTAGACGATGATCAGTTTTAGTGAGTTATGGACCACAAAAACGTTGATAGGCCTCGGGTTGGGACAGTTTCTGTCTCTGCTGATCACTGCCACGGGCTTCGCATCTTCCGAGCTGGCCAAAAAAGGTCTTGATGCTTTTTAGTATGCTAATTCTTCATAATTCTGTTGAATAAATCTTCTGGTCAAGTTACTGGTAGCCATGGATGTTTAAAGATGCAAATTTTCCCAGTGCAGCTGATAATAAGGTTAGGATAATCATTGTTCTGTACTACTCAATATCCTTTTATGTAAGTGATGGTGATGGCAAGTCAGTCGATATCTCAGATATATTAACGAGACTTTTCATTTCCTACTTTCTGAAACCTTCATCCCTTTCTGCAGTACATATTGTCAATTATGATTGGCAGTTTGTTCAGTTTTGGTGGGGTCCTTGTTGTTTTTACGCGGCTGGTTTGGGTCATTGAATCCTGTTTTGCTCTTCTGAGTGCCTTTTTGCCCGTTATTAGAATGTGGCTTTTTGATTCATTGATACTGCCTGCTCAATTTAATAATAGGAATTCCCTATTTTTCCTTTCTCTGTTTTTGGTCCAGACTCTTCATTGTGTTAATTTATCCCCCCCCCTTTTCGGACTACCTATCACAAATTTTGTCCCTTTTTTGCTATTATTTTAGGAATCGATGCACCAACTTCACAGTCTTTTCTGAACTATGTGTTATTGGCGATTGTTTATGGGAGTATTGTGCTTTACAGAAGGCAACCACTCAAGGTTATATTCCATGCTTCATAATTTTGAATTTATTGATATTACATATTGACATTATGATTTGAGTTAGCTGTAGAATTTGATGCGACATCATAGGCAATTGATATTTTAATCTAGTTCTAATTTTGTTGGCCTTAGAGATAAAATTAGAATTTGAACAGTGAAAAAACTTTTCAAAATAATTATCTAACCCATGTACTTTGACCTCCTCAAGGATCTCTTCGCATTATAAAATGAAGCATCTTTTTTGGAGAGGGTGTGGAGCACATCTTAAGTTGAGATCTACTGGATATTGATCTGCTATTTTACTCCATGTTTACATCTTATATAAAATATTTAGAAACGGGTTCGTTCACTACATATGGTATTTATGCAGGCAAAATGGTACTATTACATACTACTAGCGTTGGTTGACGTGGAGGGAAATTTTCTTGGTAAGTGTTTCGTGATGATAAACAGATAAACAGAGGGAGCATCAATTAATATTTTTTATACACGAGGCTCAAGCAACAGTAGCTCAGAGCAGAATCAAAATTTAGTTACAAGTCAAACATTCACTTTAATACTCTTCCATCTAAACTATCCTAGCATGACTCATGATATCTTATTTGATTCTCTCTGTCTAGTTAATTGACTGTTGCATAATATATATATATATATATATTTGGCCAGTTATTACAATCTATTTTGTTTTATTGACAGTTGTAAAGGCATACCAATATACATCACTAACAAGTGTGATGCTGCTTGACTGCTGGTCCATTCCATCTGTCATGCTGCTGACATGGCTCTTCTTGAAGACAAAATATAGATTTAAAAAGATAACTGGGGTAATTGTTTGTGTTGCTGGTCTTGTTGTGGTAGTGTTTTCAGATGTTCATGCAGGTGATCGTGCTGGTAAGTTGCTTTTTGTAGTTGACATTGACACCTATTTCTTACGTGGTTTACTTATGCACCCACATGGACACATATTGTTCTTTAAGATGTTGGCCTAAATTAGTGATTTTGATGTTATCAATTATCATTGGGCACACACATCATTCTTTTTATGGTATTACTCTTATGTTAAATACATTTTATAGGTGGAAGCAATCCTCGTATAGGGGATATTCTTGTCATTGCTGGTGCTACCTTGTATGCTATCAGTAATGTCAGTGAGGTGAGATGACTGCATTTCTTCTGTTTGTTCACTGCTTCCAAAATTCTTGTGTGTAACCTTTTTCTCTCTCTATTATTTGAAGAGCTTCTTAGTGCGAATGTAAAGTCAAGGAATTTTTCCATCTTTCTTTGTAAATGTCCTCGCCTTTATTTGAAACATGTGTCTAATGTCCCAATAAGCTCATGCGTGTCATCATACTATATAGTTCAACTTAAACTTTGTGAAAGTGTTAGCAGAACTACCTTGTCATGTAACTTGTTTCTTCATTTAACCCTGTTTTCTACTATGTTTTGAATGACTGAGATCATGAGTCCTCAAACAACTGCCATGGTGACATGTCCATTGTGGTAAATTTAAGAACTACCATATGTTCCGCGTGCTATTTTCATTCAAACTTAAGAGCTTAGAGTAGAGTTACATTATACATGAAGCCTTTTGCTTTATCATGATCTATTTCCCATTGCAGGAGTTTCTAGTGAAAAATGCTGATAGAGTTGAGCTCATGGCAATGTTGGGTATCTTTGGTGGCATTATCAGCGCTATTCAAATGTATCCTTGCCATTAAAAACCAATAATTCATTTAATTCTGATGATTAAGCATCTTTCTATTGTGGAGAGATTTTCATACAATTTCTATGTCATCGTTTATCAAGCTGTTTATACTTTTAACTTTACTCAACCTATTTTTAACTTTTTCTTTTGGCCACACAGGGGTCAAACTTTGTTTGCACCATTTGCTATCCCTTAAATCTTCACTATATTGCATAGCTGAGATGTCATGTGGGAAACATTTTGCCAAATTCAGATATTGTTTTCCTCCATGGTTGAATCGTGTTGGGTCATAACCATATTGCGTCAAAAATAATCTGATTTTTGGGATTAAGTAAATGTGAAATTTGCAATTTGTCACCAGCGGAAAATTTGAACATAATTCTAAGATCTAGTTTCTTAAATTAGTTAATTAATGGCTAAAAATGAGATGGGTCAAGGATAACTTCTAGAATCAATTTTTCCAAACAGCAGAAAGGTTATTTTTTGTGTATAAATTGGCTTCAACTGTGTAGGAGAAAGGAAAGTGAAAGCTTTTTATCATGCTTAACTTTCTTTTCCATCTCACGGCCTTAATGATTATTGCAGAAGCATACTTGAGCGTAGTGAGCTCAAATCTATTCATTGGTCAGCTGGAGCAGTAAGCTCTCTTACCCTCTCTCTCTCTCTCTCTCTCTCTCTCTCTCTCTCTCTCTCACTCACTCATGCAACGCCATCATTATCATCATCAATGACAAAATCTCACCTTAGCTAAGATCCTGCAACTTGTCTGCCTCAAATATACATCTTGAAAGGTTTTTCATTGAATTTAAGATGGACAGTGGCTTATTTCTTACTCCTGTCCCACTCCCTTGTAGAAGAAACTGAATCTGATGGTTCCGTGGGAAAGGGTGGTCAGAAATTAGGAAATAAAGTTTAGATGAAACCCCTAGGCATTGAATCTGAGGAAATGTCATATTATAGTTCAACTTTCACTTCAAGATATTCTGATTCATCCATGCTATTGTTCTGATATCCTCATCTTACCTACATTATTTGAATTAATTTGTCCAGTTGCAATTGCAGCACAAGAGTGTTTGCCTTGTTGCCTTTATTTTTTTCATTTGGTTATAATAATCTCTCGTTTCAAAAAACTTCTGTAGAGCCTGAAGTGGAATCTGTGAGGATCAACATCCTGTAACCCCTCCAAAAAAAAAAAGAACACTCAAAAACTTTTTTTTTTTTTTGTCTGGACCTGTGCAAAATCTGTTAGCTCTAAATTTCTCCCGTAGAAACTTGAAAGCTTTTTAGGCAGGACAGGAGCAAGTGTCATTATATATCAATGAATCATTGTCGTGTAATTCCCATCCTGTCACCACTGCAAAGATTGACTCCAAACATTCATGAACTGGTCTTTAACTTCTTACCGCCTTTCATTTTTCTCTTTATCTGTTCCCCCCATTTTTGTGCTAGTGATTATTGTGAATTTTTCAGTACTTATAAAATTTATTTATGAGATATCAAATTCTAAGTAACACACATTTTCCGTTGCCTATTCTCTTAAGGCTGATTAACGAAACAACCATATAGTTGTGACCTCTTTTTCAATGTTGGTCTCAGACACTTCCATTTGTTGGGTTCGCAGTGGCAATGTTTCTGTTCTACTCATTAGTCCCTATCCTGCTTAAGGTATGATTTAAGCTGATATAACTCTCCAGAATTCCTATTTTGAAAAATATCTCTGACTAAAATGTTAAACTATTGAAAGTTATAAATTAAAAATTGAATTTTCTTGAAATTCTTGCCTGGTATTGGAGAATTTATGCTTAAACTAGTGACAGTATTTCTCTCATCAGTTTCATTGCTATTTGCTAATGTGTCAGGTCGGTCTCGTCCTTGTGCAGTGTAAATATCCAGGTTTCTACAGGGAAATATCATTTTGACAAAATATGTTCTTTTGTACAGATCAATGGGTCCACCATGCTGAATCTGTCTCTGCTGACTTCAGACATGTGGTCTGTCTTAATTCGGATTTTTGCATACAATGAGAAGGTCTGATAGCAACATATGTCAACTTTGATAATCCTATTAAACATGAATCACATGTTGAATGTGCTAACATATCTGGAGCTAATTTTCATTTCCAGGTTGATTGGATGTATTTTGTGGCTTTTGGTGCCGTTACAATTGGGCTTGTTATCTACTCTGGGTATGTGCTCTAGCGTTTCTATTTCAAAGAACTCACTCAATTTTGCTGGCAGATTCTTTTGGGATTTTCTGACAATAAATGGTTGCAATTCAGTCGGCCAGTTCTAGCATTAAATATCAAAGACAATGAGGCGTGTGTTTATACTAAAACTACATCTTGGCACCTTGGTTCTTTCTCGTTAAGCATTTATATTGATCTATGTGCATATGGAATTTCTCTGTATGCTGATTCAATAGTTGTCTAGCAGACCCACTTTGCCTGTTTCGTCAGAATTTTCGAGAGAAATATCTTCAGTTCACTGTTCTGTATTTCAAGTTTCCTTCCTAAGCACAATAAAGTGACGATTTCCTTCCCCACTCAGCAATGTCTAGCTAGTTAGAGCTGGTGTCTCTTATATGCATTATTAAGAAACCTAGGATTTGATTCTACTCTGACTTTGCTCATACAAGGTGAACTTTTGAATGTATCCTATTCTGCCAAGTAAACTAACAATTCGATGAAAAATCTGTTCTTAACGGTGTTATATATATATGTATGCCCTTGATATCTGCTGAAATTAATGGTTTTTCATATTTCGTACAATCTTGTTGCAGGGGTGACAAAGATGAGCATCAAGATCAGGCTGTTATTGATGCAAATGCAGAGCGAAGTAAACAGGACGAGGAAGCCAGTTTAGGAAATCATAATAGAGGAACTGTGGCTGGAAGCTCAAAAGGTTAGGGAGCTTGGGAAAGTGCAGATAGAAAAGATGGATGAGGAGAGAAACCATGAGGAAATAGTCCCTCAAAAATGAAGAACATTCAAAACTCAAATCCCATTTGCGGATCAAGCAAAACTACTTGCCACGCATCACACATGAAGTCCTTTTCATTTAGATCTCTGTTTTTGCCCAGTTTCATGTCATTCCAAATAAGAAATGTAGATGGAATTTTGAGTAAATTATTTTGGAAATGAGTTAACTATTTGTCCACGGATTGCTTTGTGCCTTACAGCATTCTTTCCTATTTCTGCCGCACTGGCCATTGTTATATATGTATTAATTTCAGGAACGTTAATAATATAACGCTCCTTTAAGATCTTTTTTTTTTTTTAAGTTTATTTTATTTGTGGCAAGTTTGGTCAACTTAGGAAGATATTGACGTTTTGAATCACCTTGGGACCAACAACTCTTTGATGAAAACATGAATTGAAAGATAAAAATGCACTACCAAAAGCTCAGATTAATTGATATAGGAGTTGATTTTTCTTAACTGGAAGTTTTTAGTTTGAATCCTGAATATGCCATGGCCATAAAATTTTCAGTAGGAAACATGCCTCCTAAAGAAGTGTCAACAACCTACTGATCAAAATTAATCTGGATCAAAGATTTGGGATAATGGAATTCATGCAAAAGGGGGGGGGGACAAAAATGCATATAATTGTTCAAGAATATACATGAGCCCCATAAGTCTGGGATTAGTTTGGATGGGTGAGGATAATGCCCTCATGTCTTCCAGATATCGGATTGAATCCCACAAAAAAAAAAAAAAAAGGCATGAGAAACGAGAGTTGAGAAGATTGAAATTGAACAGACAAAAGGAGGATCAAAAATCGGATGTGCAGTTAAAGCAAGGAGGATAATGATTCACGCTTTGTTCAAATTCAGAAAAAGAAGGCACCTACCATTATCCATCAGTTCTTTCAATTCCACTCACAATCACAGGTCGCTCTCGCCTACAAACAAAAAGCAATGCATGCAAATGTGGTGGTAGGTAGAAATTTTCTCTAAGGCTAGCTATATTGTATAATGCCATTAATCATCTTCCGCAAAAGTGACAAATAATTATATATATATAATGGAGGGCGTTGCTCTGTGGGTTAGTTTAGTGTGGGTTGTTTTGTTTGAAATGGGATGTCATGTAACCAGAGATTAGAGTGTGAATGTGTTGGTTTCAAAGTCAAATTAAAGAAAGAAGCCAAAGCATGAAAAGCCGTCACTCGCCATTCTAGGCTCGTGGCCCTCTCTTTTCCCCGTCATACGGCCATCACATTGCTTTCTTTATTTTCTTTTTTCAGAATTTGCTTTTCCAAAAGACCTCTTGCATTGCATGCCTACCTTTTATCTTCTCTTTGCTTTAATTTGTCAGCAACCATGCTGCTCCTTCTCCGTCTTTCTCTCGAGTTTATATATATAATAATTTTTTACTGCATACCGGTGTTTTCTTGACACAGACAATCTTGTTTGAAGTACTGCTAAGGAATTTGCTTCTCTGGTAAAACTTGTTTATTGGTGAGATTCGCAGACACATTTGGTTTTAAATCAGTCATCACTGCAGCATCACCTTGAACTGGCGAAAAAGCCGGTCATCATTAATAATTAATAATTCACTGTTAATTAAGAGCTCAAACCACATCAGTCATATAAACTCAAACTGGTTTTTTGCGCTCACGTGAGGCATTATTGTTTGTCATTAATTAAGAGCTCAAACCACGAGTCATGAATTTATTCTTTTTTTGCCCAATTAGGAAAAGGCTGCTCAAACCTCATGGGGGAGGAGTAAGGCTTGTCTTTATAAACCATAGATATTGTCTCTACTTTTGTTTTTCTTTTTTTGGTGAGGTAATATCTCTTCTTTCTTCTTCCTCTCTAGCTCACTGATCAGTTTCTTGGATATATCAGTGTTTGATGGATATTGATGTCCTCTGGATCACTTGGGGGGTGGCTTGTGATTACTCAGCAACATTATTATTCAATGGCAATCATCACTGCTCAAAAACTTCATCATCTTCTTCTGTGGCTACTCATTGGGATTCTCTTGCTTCTTGCTCTCTCTGCCCACCATTATCCCCCGCGCTCAACAAAACTAGCCCACAGTAACTCCACAACTAATCCTCAGTTTCAAGCTTCTGCTCATAGCGTCCCTAGCGGTCCAAATCCTGAATCCAACTAGCTAGTGAGCAATTAATTCACGGCCTTTCTTAATTTGTGTCTCCGTTTGGATATGTACAGTGCATCAGCTTTTATATATTATGGACAGTTTTATATTGCCATTTCCTAGCTCTTGTATCGTTACTATATATGGTTTATGGATGGTGGCACAATATAATCTGTTGTAATTATTGTGTGAGTGTGTCAAAAGATAAATTCTCATTGATCACATGAGAGGAGAGGTCCCAGCAATTTTTGTGAAAATATTTTTGACAAAAATCAAAAATATTTATTTAAAAGAGTTTTTCAAAAAAGCCTTTATTTACCTTATTTAAATTTAAATTCAATAATAAACTTGTTTTCTTAATTACCTTGGCAGAAAACGTTAGTCCCTCCTTAACTTCTAATTATCATATTTGAATATGTTAACCATCTCATTTGCAACGTCTAGTCTTAATGTTTTATTATATTCAAACCATAGCTTTATTTGGTATTAATTGCACCTTATATTTCGGTTGAAATTGATTTTCTTTGGTTGAAAAGGTGGCTTTATCCCTTTTTAATATTTTAATGGCCAAAGGAGGTCTTCTCTTCCAACGTCCAGAAACGCCATTTATCAATAATATTTTATTGTGTCAAAACGGTGGAATAAAGCAATGGGATGATGATCATTTATTTATTTAATAATGGTGTTGATGGAAAGGTATTTTATTGTGAACTGATGATGATTTATTTTAGCGATGGTGCTTGAAATGTTTTTGTTCAATGTGTGGCTATATATACGGCAAAGTGTGTGCATGAGATTGATGCTAAGCATTTTTTAGTTCTTGGGCACTTTTCTTCCTCTCATGTGTCTTGCTTCTTAAGTTCAATTTTTCCTCTGAATTATTTCTACTGTTCTGTCACTTTATTCAATTTTACAGCAGGGTTTTACTTAGTCTTGGGGAGTTTCGGCAATTGTGCCGAAATTACTTTTAAGAATAGTGTCCTTGAGACCACTCGAAATAAATTTTACATTACTACCGCCAACAATCTTAAGAGCAATGGAGCATGTTGAACAACATGGTATTCCTGAGGGTGCAAATGTTGCAACTAGTTTTGGTAGTAGTGGCTCCTATATTCTGAGTGCAATGCCCTTGCTAAGCCATTTCCAGACATCTCTAAAATTGAAGTGTTTGATGGGAAGAATTTTAAAAGATGGCAGGAACGAATATTTATTATCCTTGACATGCACAGAGTTGTTACTGCTCTAACCTAAACCAAGCCTCCTTCAAATGCTCCTCAAGCCCAGAAAGATATTTGGGTCTATTCGAATAAGATATGCAAACACTATAATCATTTCTTTATCTAATGACTTGTTCAATGTCTACTATGTGTATAAGGAGGCCAATAAAATTTGAGAGTCTCTCATGAATAAGTACACTGTCAAAGATGTTGGGAAACAAAAGTTTGCAATGGGTAACTTGTAACACACCAAATTTTTTTTTTAATAATTTAACTCAACCATAGTTGGGTTACAGCCACCCAACACATTTTTATATCAATAATTTCGATATAAAATATTTTATAATTGGCTTCAACTCACACACTATAATATTTCAGATAAATTTTTACCTCCCACATGCCATTAGGCTAAATCACATTTGTCCATCCTTATACTCCCAACAAGTAAACTAAATCACAAATTAAAAGCATGGTTACCTTGTGGCTTTTTCAATAAATTATTCCTTAAAATTTCTCTCTCACCACAATCTTCATCAGTAATACAATCTACAAATAACATATTATTTATAAATATTAGTTTCAATTTTTAAAACTAATAAAATAATTCTAATAATAGAATTAAAAATATAATATAATTCCTAATTTCAATCTTAATACAAATCTATAGTTAATACTATTAAGTAAAATTTTTAACTCCTCTTTTAATTATCAATAAACATTGATAATCTAAAAATCAAGTTTTAAACTAATTTCTATTATCAAAATTTTCTTTTTATTTTATAAATTCGTACCTAAAATACCAAAAATTAAAAATTGAGTCTCTAGTTTAGAATCATAATCCTATAACCATAATAATTCATTTTTCATCCAAATAATCATCTAAACCTCAATAAATCAACATATATTTTCAGATCTAGTCTAGAATTTGATCCATAAGCCACAAATTCAAAGATCATCAATAAATTTATACTCTAGAACATTTATTATACTACTGACAACCTCAAAAATTATATTTATTCAACATAAATTTATCCCTCTTCCAGATCTTAAATTTTCTACCACTACAAACTCAGAAACCAAAGAAAAAGGATGACTAAGAAAAAATTTTAGAACACTTACTTAGTCTTGAAAAGCTTAAAATCACACCCTAAATATCCTATTAAAAACTCTTACCTTAAAACCCAGCACCGGTGAATTTGGCTCACAGATGCTCTCTCTGCCGAAGCTCACGCACGAAAGAAGGAATGAAGAAATGAAGGAACATGTGAGTTTTTATAAAAATTCAGTGGGTCCCACACATTTTTTTTATTCTTTTCTCTCTCTTCTTTCTTCTGCTTTTCTTTTTTTTATTATTTTATTTTACTATTGTTACTATTGAGGCGCTGCACGTTTTCTTCCTTCCTTCTTTTTTTTTTTCAAACCTTTTCCTTTTTTTTATTATAATAATAATTTAATAATATTTTTTTATTTAATTAATAATAATTTTTTAAAAAAAAAATTAATTTAGAATTATATCCTAAGTTAGATTTAATGATCATTTTCTACTAATTTATTTACCTCTAAATATTTTTTTTTAAATTTTTATTAACCCAAATTAACTATTAAAATTTAAATTGGGATGTTACATAACTACTATAAGTGGGAGATGAAAGATAACAAAGATATCAAGTTGCAATTAATAAGTACCATAAGTTGCTAAAGGAACTACGTGCTGAAAAGATCAATCTACCATATGAGTTCGTGGCTGGGGTCCTGATTGAGAAGCTGCCAAGTTCATGGAGTGACTACAAACAACAACTTAAACATAAACAGAAGTAATTATCATTGTTTGACCTCATCACTCATATCATCATCGAGGATACCAACAGGAAGGAGGTTTGAGCTACCAAAGGAAAAGAGATAACATCAAAAGCAAACTTGGTGGAAACAAAATTACGCAACAAGAG